GAAAAAAAAATCACCCTCCCAACTTCTTTTTTTGTTTTGCGTGGAAATGGCCCTGATTTTTTGACGCGTGCGCGTGCCTCAAAGCGCTTTGAGCACGTTTCAGCGCGGCACAGGGGTCTTTAAGCGCGCGCGCTCGCGCTGAAGCGCGCTTATACAGTTTCACAGCTTTGCACCCGCATGCCCAGTGAGTGTTAAGGAGAGGAGGAGGGGAACGAAGATCTCCTTACTTTTTCGGGTAATAAAATACATGTAAAATACTGACCATGGGATCACCAGTACTGCACCGCAGAATTTGGGTCACTCAACCGCCACACAAACTCTTTTCTATCCTATAGGGGGCCAAGGTCCCACTTGCGCAAATTAGGAGATTTCGGCCGTTGATCTTTGCTATCTACGGTCAGCATCTTTTAATCCGTGCAAGTGGGACCTTGCCCCGGTTGCTGTAGCAGGGTAATATCCGCTACAGCAGCAGACAGGGTTGGCGTAATATCTGCTAGACTGCTACAGCAGGTGGGCGAATTGGTCAGGACTCAGGGGTCTACTCCCACCACAGGAAATTGATTTGAGATAACCCAACAGTGTGACACATTTTGAGGGATTAAAAATTTCAGAAGAAGTGATCAAAGACTGAAAGAAACGCTCGTGAAAAGCTTCAAATTTGTTTCGGTTTCTTTCCTAATATGAAATTTGTCCCCTTTCTTTTGTGGGGGAAGAGGGGGAATTTGTTCCCATTTTCAAAGGAAGTGTTTGGGAGAAACAAAATATGCAAAAAAAAAAAAAAAAGCCTGGCAAGGTCAGAGGGAAACTCTGCGTGGAAGGAAAGGGATAGGAACTTACGTTGGAGACTGGGCAGCCACGCCAACCGCACCCCTCTTTTTAATTGAATCTGGAGAGTGTTTGTGGGCGGGTTCATTCACAGTGCAGTAGAAGGAAAACAGTTGACGCTGGAGAGCAGAACACTGTGTGCCACATCCTCCAATTCACGAAAGTAATGATGGCTCAAAAAGAAAGAAAGAAAGGAAGAAAGAAAGAAAGAAAGAAAAGGTACAGCCTTTCAGAAAGCTACCCTACCCTACCCATGGGCCATGGGTGGGCCATGGGTAGGGTTAGGAGGTAGTTTTCTCAATGGAGATTTTCATTTCCAGAATTCCAAAAAAAGAAGAACTTTTAAGTTGCTACCAGGGGGTATGTAGGTGTAGGCAAACAAACTGCGCCGATTTGCTAAGTTGCCAACCACCACAACCTTTCTCATATTATGTGGGACCGCGAGCCTCAATTCAAATTCGACCACCGCGCCCGTCGGAGTAGGCTACTAGCTGCCCACGGCCAACATATTGAATACTGAACAGATGGGAGTTATTTCATCTACACATGTATGTATGTACACCACTTTAAATCTATTTTACTGGGGGGACGGGAAGGGGGGGGGGGAGGGAGAGAGAGAGAGAGAGAGAGAGAGAGAGAGAGAGAGAGAGAGAGAGAGAGAGAGAGAGAGAGAGAGTCTGTGAGTGCGGAAATTGTTCACCTTCCGCGTGTGTCTGATAATCCAGGAATTGCTGAAGCCCAAGATCAGCACGTGTCTCTCTCTGGCAATGAGACATTTTCAACAGAACTTCTTCACTGCTTTACGTAGGCCTTTCACTTGGCTGTGCAGCCTGTGCTGCTGTCCCCATGTAGTGTATTTTTTTTTTACTTTTATTATAAAGGCTAAATCTTTAAGCCCAACCAATTCAAATACCCGTCGAATCTGGACAGCACCGTCTTTCAGGCCTTTTTTATTGTCATTATAGTATTTTGTGCATTTGGGGTCGCAGTGTGAGTATGCCCTCAGGCCAGAACTTTTCTTCTAAGCTCTGGAAATGAT